AAACTAATTATATAAAAAGTTTTCTCTATGATTAGTTAATATTATAAACATGTTGACATTTTGCTGAACAAACAAAAACCTGATAAAAGATAGCCTATCTTTGAGTTTTCTATTTTCATATGGACAGAACTTGAAAATTAGACTGAATGCACAGAGCAACAAAGGAAGTGATATCACCAAGCCGGAAGGGGGTCTCAGGGCTGAGCTTCCAACACAATCACACACATTTCAGTCTCGGAGGCTGCACCTGGGGCGATTGGTGTCACACTGGAGGCGCAGACATGGAGAATCCCTGTCACCATAGCAAGCCGTCAGATGTACTGTCTCAGAGAATAGCTAGGTCACGGGCGTTATTTTATTTTATAGCTGAGCCACTAGGTCCTAGAGGATGTATAAAATAATCTACCTAAAGAGAAGCCGTGAGCTCAGGGCAGAACCAACACTGGCGACCAGACCAGTGAAATTCACTCCTGGGCCCTTTCCCGCGTGCCGCCTCACCGTAGGTCCAGACCCGGAATGCCTCATGAGGTTTTGGTCTTGTGGCTTAAAAACTGGGGTCAGTGGGGAAAACAATCGCAAACAGTTAAGAGGATGGACCAACGCTAAAGTTTTACTCCAGTTCAATAACCACATGCCTGTCTGCCTGCCATGTACTAGGAACCCTGTCCCAGCGGGGGACACAGACTGAAACCCACTCAGCATCAGTACCAAGTAGTCAGAACATAGGTAAATGTAAGCACAGGGCCCTGCCTGGGATGGGAGGGGCAGGGAAGAGTGGTTAGGATGGAGGTGGCATCAGAGCAGAGAAGGTGGGAAGGTGCTCAGGATGGAGGGAGCTGCGTGCCTAAGACACGGAGGACCAGACAGCATGGTGGGCTGGGCTGTTTCCGTGACAGCGCCCACATCTACATCTCAGGACAGACTGCTGCCTCTGTCCGCTGGCCCCCCCCCCCCCCCCCCCGTGGAAGTCCCACCTCAAGGCAGCCCTCCCTGCACAGACACCCCCTCTCACCCCACGGCTCCCACTCAATCTGCTTCTCATCTTCTGTACTCGCCCTGCTCAGTGGCACTCCCGTCCACGCAGGCTAACACTTCTGGAGCCTAAGAACCAGACTCCTCTCTCTCTCATGCCTGAGATCCAACCTGTCACTAATTTCTATTCCTTTTCTTTGAGAGCTCTAGAATCAAAAGGGTAGTGGCAGTAATGCCCCTCAGGCAACAGAGGGTATCTCCCCCCACCCACAGGGAAGTTGCTGGCTATAATGCCCTATGGGTCAATGGTGGCCTCCGTGTTTTGGGATAAACACCCCAAGGGCATTCCCTTCCTGTTCATATACAAAAAGGAAAGAGGGAATCTGATCAATGTGTTGCCCAAGGGCAGGTGGGTTCATCAAACTCTCCTTTAAGGCCTGAGAGCCTATGTCGTCCTATTCTTCCCATAAAATTAGGTCAGGCTTGTTATTCTTTAGTAAAACGTACAGAAGTTTGGCCATAAAAGAGAAATTTGGAATCCAATTAGAGCAATAACCAACTAGCCCAAGAAAACCTCACAGTTGGCACTTAGTTTTGGGAAACTTAGGACATGATGAAGTCTATCTGGACCTTGGTTCAGCCCTTGTTCTGATATCAGATGCCCCAAATATGGAATCTGGTTTTGAAACTGCAGTTTTCCTTGTCGACGTTATGTCCCTTTAAGGCTAAAAGCTTTAGCAAGTGGATGCAGTCATCCTGTGAGGAGGCTTGAGGAAAGTGAAGAAGCAAATCATTCCACGTACGGCAACAAAGCAGAACCTCTGGGGAACTCTGTATCATTCAGATCAACCTTTAGGATTTGCAAAAAGTAAGAAGGGCTCTCAGTAAGATCCTGAGGGATTACTGTCCAGCTGAGTTGTTTTTCTTCCCAAGTGAAGGCAAAAAAGTGTTGGGTAGCTTCCTCAGCTGGGATACTGAAGAAGGCACTGCATAAGCCAGTTACAGTGAAGAATGCCTCCCGGTGGGAATGGACCTTAGTAAGTGTGAGGGTTAGGGACCACAGGGTGTCGAAGGATAACAACGTTGTTTATTGTTCTGAGGGCCTCGACTAGCCTCCACCCTCGGCCCTTAGGTTTTCTCACCAGTAAAATGGGAAAGTTACAGGGACTAATAGAGGGGACACTGAGCCTTGCAGTCTTCCATTATGGGCTGTATGACTTGAAGGGCTTCTTTACTTACAAGTATTGAGTAATTCCAGGAAGAAGTTCTGAGGGATATATTTGAATCTTGATGGGAGGTGCGCTGTGAATTTTGCCAATATCAGTTTGAGATTTTGCCCACAAGGAGGGTGGTAGCTGATTCAAAGGGGACAAACGATCAGTGTTTCCAGAATCAGCTCTAGCACCAACAGAGGTGGAGCAAATAAAAGATGTCAAAGGGTCATTTAATTCACCTGGTTGGCTGCTTTGATGACTGCCGTCAAGTTCTAGAGTTATTTCCCCCTTTTGGAGAAAGAAATTCTGCCGTGACACTTCTCTAAGGAATCTCAGGCTCATAAATGGGTAGGGGCAGAGGAACTAAGCAGAAGGCGTGTCTATCTCTCAAAGGGCCTAAACAAAAGGGAACAGGTTCAGAGACAGGAACCTTTTGAGGTGCATCACAGATCCCCACTATTGGAACGGTTTCAGCACTCTGAGGCAGGGGCTGTTTCGTAGTAGTGGGGTTGAGCACTCTGGCTCCAGTGTCAGTTAGGACTGGAAGAGATTCAACCCCAATCTGGAGAACTGTTTCTCCAAGCCAATTAAGAGGGAAGATTGGGAAGAGCCCCTGTAGTTCCTTGGGTCATTCAGAATCAGGAGGATGTTGGAAAGGCACCTTAGAAGGCTGAAGGCGCCTGAAGCACTTACATTTGTAAGTCTCTTTCCCAATGTCCTGGCTCTTTGCAATAACAGCAGAAACTAGGAGGGTTTTGGTTTTGTTTAGGGGCCTTTGTTTGCTTCAGTTGAAGATTAAGACTTTTGGCGGCCTTTCTTTGAGGAGACGCATCCAGCATGAGACAGCTGGTTGGCCAGATTTACTAAATCTGCAGTGGAGGGTTTCCCACTCCATCCTGGTGCTTTTTACTAGAAGGGAAAGGTCCTGTTTCAGCCCATTAAGAAGCAGAGTTAAAAGCTACCCAGGTGGAATCAACATCTAAAGAAGACCAGAATTTTCTTTTAAAATAATCTGAAGTTGATTGTAATAGTCATGAACAGATTCATCAGATTTTTGTGTGCAAGCCTGAATTTTGTTCCCATCAACAGTCTTTGGAAAAGTCCTAGGAATGGCCTGATAAAGTCACTGAGTGATTGCCTGAGTCTGATCATATAAGTAAATGGCCAGGTCTCCCAGTTGTAATTCTAGAGATCCTTCAGGACTCTGCCAATTAGCGGCAAACTGAATGCTGGGCCTGGCTTCCCTGACAAGCATATGAACTAGCTGAGATAAGCTGGAGAATCCAGGTTGCTAGGTTTGAATGACTGTGTGAAATCCCTCAGCAAATGTGTGAGGATCCTTGGTTACTTTAGGAATATCTGTGACTGTGGCTCACGGTTCAGCTTTAGTCCAGGGAGTATAAGAAATTAAGGGTTTCAAAGAAATAAACATTTGTTGCACCAGGCAGTGACTCCCATTGAGTATCTCTCAAGATAGGAGACAACTACAGAAACGCCACCTGCATTCCATAAAAATTCAACCTATAACGTTTGTTGGGAATGCCCAGACACGGTAACTCTTTCTGTAATTCATTACGGTTTAGTGTACATGCATTCACACTCATGCAGTAACTCCGAAGAGTTCCTGTTATTTGAGTATGGGCAAAAAACCCTTTAATATTCTCTGAGCCTAAGTTTCTTCACCAGTAAAATGAGTATTAAAAATCCTGCTTTACTGCGAGAAAATAAAAGAAATTAAGGGTTTAGCCTCTGAATTCTCAAAAGGCTGAATTTTAAAGGGACAGGTTCTGACCAGTTTAGAGGAAAAGGGAGTGGAAAGAATTTCAGAGAAAAAGGGAAGTTGGGCAAGAGAATTAGTCTGGGGGGAGCTGAGGGTGTAGAGGAGGGGCGGGCGGCAGAGAAGGGCAGAAGGAAGACAGTGCTGGGGGGCCGCGCCTGAGGCAAAGACGCCGAGGAAGAGCCTGCACTTCAGGAACCACTTTAGCTTTAATTGTCTGTTGGCCTCGGTTAATCTTAGCATCTTATTTTGCAGAGAGGCAACTTCAGGCTCCTAACAACATGTGGAAGCCTCAAAATACCAACAGAAGTAGGTGTTCCATTCGGTTCTGGAAATTTGAAAACTGCGGTTGTCCAATTCAGTTTTAAGAAAAGAAAGTTCGGGGATTTCAGAAGTTCCGCATAACGGCTGCTGAGAGTCTAAATTGCCTTTGGTCAGGTGAGTCCGTTTAGTTAGAAAAGTGAATGAGGAAGGACCACGATTTTAAAACATAACATCAGACAGATATCAGGAGGCTGTTAGTAGCGCAGAGGAGCACCCTCAAAATATTTGAATAACTGGGATCCTGTTTCTCAGAGGTGATTTTTTGTTTGTTTGGCAGGAGTAAGTGACTTTTCTTTTTTTGGCCGCGTGGCTCGCGGGATCTCAGTTCCCCGACCAGGGGTTGAACCCGGGCTCTCGGCAGTGAGAGCGCCAAATCCTAACCACTAGACCACCAGGGAACTCCCAAGACTAATTTTCAAACAGCCAAAACAGCTCAAACAGCCCACAGGCCTAACACCAGCCAGTTCTAAGGCGACAGTCTGGTCCCAGAGGAGCCTGGGCAAAGGCTCCTCAGCCTGGCTCCCTAGAACAGACCGCGTTCCATGAATCCACCCAAAAGGCAAGCCTATGCCAGTTGGAACAGGAAGTGCCGAATGAGTACGTGCACACAGAACAAGGCCTGGACCAGAAAGGACCAGACTTTAACATCCATCCTGAATAGAACCTGCAGAGCTTCCAAACGCAAAGAAGCTGGACCCAGGAGAAAGATGTACCTTCAAAATCCAGGGTCGGTGAGAAAAGCAGTGACAACGAGCTCCAGGTGGGCACCGCACCTGTTTGCTCAGCAGCCCAGGAGCTGTCAGGGGTCTTCTCTGGTTCCCAGATGGGTCGCCAAAATGTTGACCTAAAGTGAAAAGACCGCCAGCTATTCCCCAGCAAGGACGGGTTTACTCGGGATCAGCAGAGAACTGCAACTCGAGGTTTCAACCGTGGCGGCCACATGCAAACCCCTGTGAGGCGAGGGAAGGAGCCGCTTTTATAGAGGGGAGAGGATGGTGGGCGGGCTTAGTAAACAGAGCCCCTGTTTCTTATTGGCTGAGTCTTGGCCAGAAAGAAGGGGAATCTTTCTTCTTTCCCCCTTGGGCTCTGCTGTCCATGCAGGGGTGAGACCTCCCCCGGATGGTCTCCCGACTCTATTTAACTGAGGTTTCCATTCATTAATTTTTACCGTATGGATACCCCATATTTTGTTTATCCATTGGGCAGCTGGTGGCCATTAGGGTTGTTTCCACTTTTGAGCTACTATGAATAGTGCTGCTTGAACATTGCTGTGCAGGCTTTTGTGTAGACATGAGGTTCCCTTCTCCTGGGTATCCTGTCATCTCTCAGTAAGACTAATGAATAAACTAAAACGTTTGCAGTTTTTCCTGCTATCAGGCTTATCCTCAAAATCCACTTTCCAACCTAATACTAGAGTTTTTTAAGCATGTAAATCTTTTAAGTGTGTAAATCAGATCTTGCTGAGCCTGTATTTAAAAGCTTTCAACAACTTTCCACTGTACTGAAAAAAAAGTGCAAAAACCTCCACGTGGCCTACCTCTTCAACCGCCCAGGGTGGGCCAGGGTGCTTGCAAATGCCCATCCGTTTCCCCAACTGGATTTTAGGTAAAGTGAGGCTAGAGGCTGCGGGGCCACTAGCACGAGCAGTTGTCATCGGGGCTTTCTTGTCCCCGAGCACTTAGATGGGAGGGGCCAGGCTGCCCCACTGCAGACCCCTCTCCTCTCCTGGGGTCCTGCCTGAAAACTCCAGCCCCAAGATCCCAGCCTGTTAGAGCTGAAAGGAGCCTTGGGGAGAGTCCAGTCTGGTGATCTCCGAGCTGTGCTCTGCGGAGCCCCAGGGGAGAGGGGTCAGCCGGGGACAGAGGGCGTGAAGCTGAGTGGACAGGGCTCTGCAGGATGTGCTTCCTGCTAGTTTTTGTTTGAATAAAACCGCTGAAAGAAAAAAGGAATTTGAGAACAAATTGATTGAACCCAACCCTCTTCATTGACAGATGAGGAAACCAAGGCAAAAGAAAACTCAGCTCTCCTCCCAGCCAGAGTGGGGAACCTGCTCTCACCCGTGGGGGGCCGGTGTGTTCCAGTGTCCCTGCTTCCCGAGAAGGACGCCTGGAGCCCTGCCGGACAGTGAGCACACTTCGGAACTCAGAGGCAGCAAAGGGAGCAGTTAAGGACAGACGGACAAATGCTCGAGAGAAAATAAGACGCAAGTTTTCCATCCGAGGTACGAGCAGACGAGGGCTGCCTAGGGCCAGAGGGACAGAAGAGGAACCTCTCACTAAGGACTTACCAGCCCGGCAGCACAGGCAGGAAGTGCTGCCTCCAGCAGCGTCAGCGCAGAGGATGAGCAGAGGCCTGGTCACGTGACCAGGCTCGGAAAGAGCGTTGGGGGAGGGGCGCCAGAAATGAACAACACGGAGAAGGAACGGAAAGGCGGTGCGTGAGGGTAAGCCGAGGCGGGGCTCTGCAGGCTGCCGCGGAGCTGGCGTCCTCCTCCCTCCCCCGCCGCAGCCAGAGAGCAGCAGCTGTTGGGATCCAGCTGCCATTTTTCAAACCAATTAAGGAGCCCTGTTACTGCCCCCGGGAGGGAGTGTGTCTGTGTCTTCTGAGTCAGCAGCTCGGACCGGGGCCTCTGGGGACAAGCTCGCAAGGCCCTAATCGTTCCCTCAGAGTTAAAAATAACAAGTAGCAAGCCACTACTCTTGACTTTACACTGCCGCAGGGGGCGGAGGTCGGGGGTGTCTCTTGCCACAGAGGTTTACCATCCGAGGCGCCAGAGAGCGGCAGCCCGCCGGCAGCACGTTTTTCTTCCCGTTCGCGCTCTCCTGCTTCAGGTCCCCGTCCTGAAGTCATCCATCAGCTGTCCCACTTGCCAGAAGTAAGTGACACTGGGCGTGACATTACTGCTTTCCAAAACAAAGAAGCCCAGATCTCTCTGGCTGAGAAAAGTTGCAGAGCCCTGGTTCCCCTGCTTAAACCTGAAACAGTCACTCGGATAAGACCGTTGAGGGAAGGGAAAACTGTGAAATAAACCATAGACCGTGAGCCGAACCACCCCTTCTGACCGCTCTGCAATCCGGAGACCAAACCGCTGTCTGTTAACTGTTTACTTTTCCTCCAGTTTGTCTGGCATTGCGTAGACGCTCCCTCAGAAAACAGACCCACTTTACCTCCGAGCCTGAGATCAGAATAGGGCGCTTGGGAAGGGAGATGAAATCAGAGCATCTGTGGGCCTTAGGGCCCACACCCAGGCTTCTCTCTCTCCCAAAACATGCAAGCCAGGGATGCTTTTTCTGCTTTTCTATAAAAATCGGACAGCAGCAAAATCATCCCTGGATGTAGCTGATGAAAACACACATCTCAATTCAAGGTAACCCACATAAACGTGGGACCTCCACGTGGCCCAGTCCCGGCATGGTGTCACCTTCCAGGAAATAACAGCCTGACATAAAAGCAGGACTGAAAGCCGTGCAAATCTGGAGAAAAATTTAAAGAGGAAACATTCTTTTTTCTTAAAACCCAGGAAGACATCTATAAAAGATTATATTTCTTCTTTTTTTTTTTCGGTCGTGCCTGCACGCGGGATCTTAGTTCCTGGACCAGGGATGGAACCCGTGCCCCCTGCCGTGGGAGCACGGAGTCCTAACCACTGGACCACCGGGAAGTCCCAGGAAGTTATATTTCTTCATCTCCCTCTTGCCCCTCAACCCCACAGCCTTCATCACAGCCCCCGGAGACCTTACCTCTGCTTTGATCGACCACCTGATAGCCAGTCCACAGGGTCCGCCCGCCCCACCTCCTCTCCTCTCTGTCTGTTTACTCCATCAACTCAGCCTTTCTGGATTCTGTAAGTTTCTAACGTTCTTATCTTAGCACCTGGATTCTGCGCAGAGCTGACCCTAGGGACCAGGAACTGATCTAACCAGGAGGTGGGAGGTGGCAGGAGCCGGAGGAAAGGTCCAGAGGTGAACACAGACGACTGTGCTTTTCCCTTGCCTCATCTTTGTGGGCCTCTGATGGGAAGGAAAGTGTACCACCGTGCTTCCCAGAGGTGCTGCCTCAGCCCTCAGCCCCCCTCCGTCCTTCCTCCTCACGTGGATCAGGATACACTCCTCCCCAACCAGCCTGCTGAAGACACTCCCTGGGGATTCCCAGCATTTCTCTTTGCAAACCAGGAGCAATGACGCTGGTTTAAGGACTTAATTCCTCCCTCCTCTGGGTCACTGTGTCCAGCAAGAGGAAGGAAAGTTCACTCATTTTGTTATTTCTTTCACAGGGGCCTTTGGCCACGAAACAACCCAGGTGGCTACAACCAGAGCCAACATGGGGGCAGCTCCAAACCCTGAAGGTCTGAGGAGGCGGGAAGTGTCCCTGGCTTGTTGTCATGGAAACCACAATAGAGGCTTGCCTCCTGACCAACCCTGGTGCTTCCCCGTGTGCCCCCCCCCCATGGCATGGCACGCCCCCTCCTCTCGGGAGCTGTGATTATAAAACATCTTTTCAATAGCCATTGTCTCCTGATCTGTTGGCCTTAGTATAACCCAAATTTTCTATTAATACACTATTTTTTTTAAAAATTTTAAATTTTTTTTATTTTTGCGGTACGCGGGCCTCTCACTGTTGTGGCCTCTCCCGTTGCGGAGCACAGGCTCCAGACGGGCAGGCTCAGCGGCCATGGCTCACGGGCCCAGCCGCTCCGTGGCATGTGGGATCCTCCCGGACCGGGGCACGAACCCGCGTCCCCTGCATCGGCAGGCGGACTCTCAACCACTGCGCCACCAGGGAAGCCCTAATACACTATTTTTAAAAACAGCTGGGGAACCTCTCATTCCCCACTACCAACGTCAAGAGGGTGAGGCTCACCTCCTCAGAGCAGGATCCCCAGGTGCTCCCTGGTGCCTGGAGCTGACCTCCACTGGACTTGCTCCAGGAAGGTGGCCGTGGTTCCTTCCTTTCCTTTGTCAGCCTTGGTGAACTTTGACAGTGACAGTCCATCCCATCAGGTCTGTGATGAAATCCAAGGTTGAGGGAGTTCCCGGGTGGCCTAGCGGTTAGGATTCCAGGCTTTCACTGCCGTGGCCCAAGTTCAATCCTTGATCTGGGAACTGAGATCCCGCAAGCCGTGCAGCGCAGCCCCCCGCACCCCCCACAGAAAAAGAAGAGAGAAAGCCAAGGTTGATTTAATTCTTGGTTCTCAACTCCCCAGCACTGGCCTGACCAAATCACCTCTGATTTTCCACACTTGGCTCTAGTATCGTCCTGGTGGAGGGGACATGTTAGCAGCCGGTCCAGCCTGAATACAGACAGAGTAGTCTCTCCTCCTTATTGACGACTGTCATGAATCCTTTTATAAACTGCTGCTGTTCAGTAACCTGCTTCATCCTCTCTACCGAACAGCCAGGGAAGTGAGAGCTTCCACCGCCTAAGCGGAGGACCTGGTGGCACCCAGTCAGCGACCAGTCTCTAAAGCTGGACCCCATGCTCTGACACAGACAATGCGCTTCTCTGCTTCAGCAACCATCATTCTCCCACCATTTCAGCTGGTGAGGTCTAATCACAGCTCAACGTGCTGGTTGTCTACTGCTATGTGATGAAGCACCTCAGAATTCTGTAGCTTGGATCAAAAGCAGGATCTCAGAGAGAGATCTGCCCACCCATGTTCACAGCAGCGTTATTCACAGTAGCCAAAAGGTGGAAGCAGCCCTAGTGTCCATCAGTGGATGAATGGATATACAAACTTTGGCATGAACACACGATGGAATATTATTCAGCCTTTAAAAGGAAGGAAATTCTTTTCTTCTTTTAATTTATTTTATTTTGGGCTGCGTTGGGTCTTCATTGCTGCGCGCAGGCTTTTCTCTAGCTGCAGCGAGCGGGGGCTGCTCTTTGTTGCTGTGCGCGGGCTTCTCATTGCGGTGGCTTCTCTTGCATGCAGAACACGGGCTCTAGGCGCGCGGGCTTCAGTTGTTGCAGCACGCAGGCTCAGTAGTTGTGGCTCGCGGGCTCTAGAGCGCAGGTTCAGTAGTTGTGGCGCACGGGCTTAGTTGCTGTACGGCATGTGGGATCTTCCCGGACCAGGGCTTCAACCCGTGTCCCCTGCATTAGCAGGCGGATTCTTAACCACTGCGCCACCAGGGAAGCCCAAGGAAGGAAATTCTGACATGAGCTACAGCAGGGATGAACCTTGAAGATATTATGCTGAGTGAAATAAGCCAGTCATAGTATGAGTCCACTCACAGGAAGTACATAGAGTCATCAAATTCATAGATGCAGAAAGGAGAATGGTGGTTGTCAGCGGCTGGGTTGCAGGGGGAATGAGGAATTATTGTTTAATGAGTGAAGAGTTTCAGTTTGGGAAGAAGAAAAGAGTTCTAGTGGTGATGGTTGCACAACAATGTGAATGTACTTAACGCCACTGAAGTGCACGCTTTAAAAAGGTTAGGATGGTAAATTTAATGTGTCTTATTTTATCACAATTTTTTTAAACAAAAAAATTTCGACACATCTATATAATGTTATAAACCATTGCTACCTCAATAAAAAATTCTTAAACAAAAAAATAGTAATAAAATTAAAAAGGAAAAAACTGGTAGTTGAAAACCACACTCTGTGACCACTTCTCATAGTTGTTAAGTTTGGTCAATTTCAGCTCTTATCACAGTAGCACTCCGTATCCTCCAGCCCCCACCCCCAACCCTGGCAAGCAGCTGAGCACAATTTCTGAGAACAGGTTGCATGCAGCTTGCAGGAGCTGGGGTAGGCAAGAAGGACCCCGTGCTCCAATAACAGGGATCTGTGCTATGGTCACTGATTGCTGCTCTGATCACAGAGGTGCAGACACAGAGATGGGCAGCGTTGCTGCAGCCTTCACTGTTTTTGCTACAAACCCTGCAGCCTCCAGCTGAAACAACTTCTAGAGAATTTAAAGAACTGGTGCTTGTTTTTACGTTCTGGTTTTTTTCCCCTTTGGGAGTCAGACATTAAAGGACTAAAAC